AAAAAAAAAAAAGGTTTGATCGATTGTTACAGCGTGGAACGGCAAATGCGATTCCTGGCATCGAGGATAGAGGCAATTGCACAGACAACAACAGCACCCAGTGGACCGCTTGCGTTGGGCTCAATACCAGCCGCTGGAGCGAAAATTAGCAGTAGCGCAGAGCGCCGGGGCAAAACACACCTTAGCGATTTCAGTTATCGCTCCATGTTTTCGCCACCTGTGCTGAGAAATGGCAGCCGAAATACTTCACTTATCCGTGACAGCCCTGCTGATCGGTACATTAATTTTTGCTTCAGTGTAGACTGCATGTGGCTTCATTTTAAACTTATTATCCAGTAGTTCATCGGAACAAGACTTTCTTAAAGGTAGAGGCATATTTATATTGTGCATTTGAGCGTGCATCGAGTAAGTTTGCCCGTAGAAAATATTTACAAATACTTGTTCCTGTGGCTCAGCTGTTGTCCAGTTTTACTCAAAATTTGCTTTTTTCAGATCAATTTCTAACATTAATTCAACTGGTTCCCATGATGCTTCCAGTTTTTTGGGGCTGAATAACGGTCAGACGTCCGGAAAATTATCGCATGTCAAACGACTGGACCTCAGTCTTCTTCATCGATCGGTGGTTAGAAAACATTAGTCGTTCTACTTTTTTTTTTGAAAATGTTCGATGTATTTATTCTAAATTTATTATCTAAACCTTTTTTTGCCAGTTTAAATCAGTGCCAGTTTTGCCACTTATTTGGAAGAGCTGTGAGGTTCTCCAGTTATGCGGCTAGCAACTTCTCTTATTTTTTTGACCAGTGCTTTGCCTATTAGCGGTCAGCCTACTGCTGGGGATTTTGATGTTCGTTTTCATTTTTTTGACGAAACTGTCAACTCAATGGCCCTCCCGAAAGTACACTTGGCAAAGTTTTAGCCATTTAATTTCAAGATAATTGGACTTTTTGTATTGTGTAACTAGCATAAATGCTCTTTTGCTGCAGGAAAATCGGAAGAATATATCAGTTTCGTCAGTCACATCGCCGTTACCGTCATCTGTAGCAGAGACAAACGGTGTTATCACCGAATCAACCGAAAATTCCGTAATAGAAGATGCTTCTTACACCGATGTTGTACGTTTTTAGCTTGGCTAATTCAGGTTTTTGTAAGCTGTAAGTATGTGGTTTTTTTGGGTCAAAAAATGTGTTGTAATTTACAAATTAGCGTTCGGAAAAGAAGTCGGGATTGGTGTGAAAGTTTTTATCCTTTGACTATCTGCAATAAGCTTCAGATTGTATCCTGAGGAACTAGCTCCAGCCCAGCACCCTGCTTAGATGTGCCTGAGTGTATTCGTGGGAATATTCCGACAAATATTGGTTTTTATGAACAAAATTTGTATCTTTTAACTGAATTTGTCAGTCATTCAGCAGAGCTTAACAATCTCCGTCTGGACTTTGGGCTACCGGGCCAAATTCTCAGTTAATTTTCACTCCATCTTTACATTTTTTGTGCTTTTGAGCTTGCACTCCTTCTGCTACTGCTGCTGTTGCTGCTTTACTGCCTAGAGATGACTTTTTCAGAGACGTGATAGTACGCCGAGCAGTCGAGGAACGAGTGTTACATTCCACATGCCAAGTGGTGAAATGCAGCCTCTTCAAAGTAGCACACCGGCAAAGGAAGCGCAACTCACTCCTCGCTCAATATTACGAAAACGTATCGAAATATCTCCTCCATCTTCGGTACGTTTTCTTTAGTTTCTCATCATCGAATTTATTGGTATTTCTTTATTTTTTTTTTTTTTTTTCACTTGGGGCATGGGAAAGACCCGTGGAAAAGCTGCCTTCGAAGCTCTGTTAAGCAGTTTCACGCATTTCCTGGGCTTCTAGATTCTCCATGTAAAATACCGGATTCATTCGGGCTCGATGCTGCTGAGGTCCATAAAATATTTCTCACATGACCAGTTGCAATTCTTTCTTAATTGAAAATTTCTGACTCCTTTTTACTATTATCTCTAACGTTCGTAATGTACTCATCATTAGTGAGATCTCTGACCAAAGTAAGATTTTTCCATCAAAAGAAAAAAAAAATCGAATGCTTTTTTTTTGTGAATGAATTCGTTTCTTAAGTGGAATCATTTCTAGATTGCATCCGACGAAAGGGACTATGATAGTTCAGTGAATTTACGAACAACTACAAGTGAGACAAACAGTCAAATATATGATCGTACCAATGGTAACGCAGACCAGGAGGAGGAAGTAATGCCTTATGATAGCCATCCGGCTGCAATTATTTTGACAAGGTTCGCTTGACTTTTATACGCTATTTAAGTGAGCAGAGGTAGTGGTGCGGAGGAGATTTGGTTTGCCTCCTCCAAATCGTAAAAGCAATCAATCTATCAGGAAAACAGCACACAAAATATCATTTCGGTAAATTCTGTAAGACGGGGATCCTCGCAAGCTTTTCATCTAGCCATTGTGCATCGTACATCTGTGAATGATATTCACAACGAAATAAACTTTCGAGCCGTTGACCTCTGAGAAATCGCAAACAGGCATTGGCAACAAACAGCTAGAGCTTTGCAGCTGAGAATCGATGAGTCTGTTGTAGCTGTGCCATTTGTGGAAGCATCCTAGTAACATCGCTAGCACGGGGTCTCCAAACCAGTTGTCGGTGATCTTGGAACATTGGCTTTTTTTTTACCTAACTCTTGGAAATGTTTGAGCACCAATCATGATACCGCAGTCTGTTATCAAAATTAATCATAATCCTAAGAATGAGCATTGAGCCATAATCAGCCTTTGTCACATGCTAGATTCGCGTTTCATTGCGCTGCATTTCTCTTTGCCGCTCTTTCGTGCTTCTGTTTTTCATATGTTTCTCATAGTGATTCAGTGAAGACATCGGGCCGTTTTACATTTCATCGAATTTTCTTTGTTTTTTTGTAGGCCTGATTATGAATGCGAGCCATCACTTATTGAACTCGCCGAAATGGCTAAACAAAACAATGGCATTTGCCATATTGAAAACGGATTTACAATACGCCGACTGGCCTTTGGGAGTGTCTTTTGGCCAGGCCCATTTGATTTGAACAACATTGATTTGGATAAGGTATCACTGATAATTTTGAAAACTCCCTTGAGTTTTGTGAGTTCTTTCCGATGCAGATTGCTCAAGAAGCAGCCTTTTCATCGAGGCCGAACAAAACGAATTTGGATCTCTAAACAGTGAAATTAACAACGCTTTGTGTTTACAGGTGGTTCATTTCCGTCAGCATGAAGTCATCGTGTACCCTGATGATAATACAAAGCCACCAGTTGGAGAGCAGCTAAATCGATTTGCTGAAATAAGCCTGGACAGGGTTTGGCCTCTCGACAAAAAAACAAAGGAATTTATCACAGTAAGTGTTTCGAATATTATGCACCGAAAAACAGAAAATCCACTTTAGCAACAAATGACGCACTCAGGCAGCGCAGAGTGCGAGAATGAAAGGGAATTTGTAGAGTAGGACCTGTTGTAGCTGCACTCGATGCCCAACAACGAAAACCCACGCCGAAAATCCGAGTGACAAAATGTTTCACTTATGAATTTTTATTTCCCCTTTTCAAGGACCCTTTGCGACTCGAGGAACTGGGATATCGTGCAAAACTCGAGCGTGCATCACTCAAGATGGGGGCGAAATTCAAGGATTATCGGCCAATGACAGGAACCTGGGTGTTCACTGTGCCACATTTCACAAAATACGGCTTACCGGTTTGTCATTTTTTGATCAGAAATATTGAAATTCATTTTATTCTCGATCAAACAAGTTTATTTCGAGAAGCTGTTTGACAAATTTTTCGGTTTCTTCGGTCTTAAGTTCTTCATTGGTTTACGCGTGCTGAATCAACTCATCTTCTATTCTTATTTTGACAGATCCGCGGTCCGAAGCACGTTATTGATATATACTTAGGAAAAGTGAAGATGCCTGCCTGTTTCGATGACTATTAACTAAAGTGATACCATTGTTTCATAGTGCCGGCGGGCTTCTTTCACTGGGCGATGAGCAAGAACTTGATTCCACTGTTCGTAAGAAGAATTTAACGATTTATTTTGATGACAAATTCAGGCACGTCGAAGAATCAAAATCGCCATCTTCTTGTTTCTAACTGACCCACGGGCGGTGGAATCATCGACGATGCTAGCGGGGACTGTGTTTTACACGTGCTGCCTCTCGGGCTACTTCCATATGCATCTTTACCTCTTGTAGACAGTGAAATATAAGAGGGAATTTTGACTTTAACTTTCCTGTTTGCTCAATGGATTATACATTACCGGGGGAGGAGGGGAGGGGCGAGAAAGGGGGGAATGGACCTACATCTGTAACCAAATTTCATGTCTTTCTACTTGGTTTTTTTCTTTTTTGCAGAATTTCCCCCTTTCTAGTTCGCTTTTCGCTTTTTTCTTTTGACACAAACAACTCTGGCGTTTGTCGGCACAGAAAAACAGGTATCCCTCACCGTACGGTCTTCACGAATCATATTTGCTCCGTTTAATCAGTGTTCTTATTCAGTCAGTTACTTTGAGCACATTGTTCTGTTTGATTACTCTAATTTATTGGTAGGCTTTTTTAAAAGCGTATGCGAATTTTTAAAAAGTGCATTTTTTTGCTTTCCAGGATGAGGATGATGATTTTTTGGACGAAACAGAGTTAAAGGCAGCGTTGAGCGATAGTAAAATCCAGGATGCAGTACAACGCGCCAGGGTACCGAAGTTGAAAATTGCTCAGGAAGGAGGCGACGGCGCTGATGCGGCCGTTGCTCCCACTGATGGTAGCTTCGTGGCAGACGAGTTTAAGGCGCGTATTAATATGCTCTCAAACTTGCACAGTTATCACACTTTTTTTCTAAACTGATAACTCATTGTTAATTACTGTGTTCAGCAAAATATCTGGGCCTAATATCGGTACATTTCAGGATACTTCAGCTGATCTAGGTCGATGGAACTCTCTTGGTAAATGGAATGATGATTTTGCGCGAGGATTAGGTGGAAACTATGGTATGTCTTTATGCTGGTTCTTACTCTATTACTGGAACTGACGGTTTTACCTTTTCGTAAAGCATTTCTCAGATTTGTGGTGGCGCACTCTGACTTCCAGCAGAAAACTAATGCATTTTAGTTCTTTTCGTTTTTTGTTCATACCACTCGATCCTCTTCAACTCTTATCACTCATTACCCTCTTTTCGTGTCTTTTTTCAACTCAACTTTTTGACGCCATATAATTCTCTGCTTTTCAGATGGGCGGAGCATTTCACAGCTGTTTTTTGTACTTTTTTTTGCTCTTTCTTGCTAATTTTACGACTTCCACCTGTTGTCTGCCCCCTGCCGCATCCGTAGCTGATTTCTTTCTGTATTTTTAATTATTGTGTATCTTCTGGTAATTAAAATCTAAGTACAATCATTTCAAAGCTTATGGACATCCGATTACGGAGCAGCGCGAACTTCTCTTTGATACGTCTACACAAAGTGACTGGCAGAGCGCTTTCTCCGAAAAGAGCGAAAAAACGGAACAATACGACAGTAAAATTTTGTTAGGTTTGTTCGCTGTTGACTCATTATTGGGAACTGTAGTGCTTTTTTCCTCAATTAAGTGGAAAATGTTTAGAAATTAAATTCTTTGGTAAATCGTCTGTTTTTTGCCTCGAATTTGGTTTTCAGTGTTTCCGATTTAGTGTTATAATTCATTTTCAGATAACTTATTATCTGAATCGATGCTCATCGACATGGATAGAAAAGATGAAAAAATCCATACAGTTGTTGAGCTGCAATCATCTCAGCCAATTAATGCATTGGAAGTATTCATAAGAGAAGGCGAGCAAACTGTACCAGTGATGGCCTTAGAATCAAGCGCACCCATCCACAGCTCATTGGTGAATGGAAGAAGTGGCCGCATCGGTTGGAGTCACGGTTGGCCTCACAGATTTCAGTTATAAAAAAAAAAACTCATCTGCTTCCCATTTCTAACGGCTACAGCAACTGCTTTAGTAAATTTCGGCTAGGATTTTAATTTAGTTTCTTAATCTCACTAGCATTTCAGTTTTTGACAAGCATGGCCCGGTGAGATAGCACTGATGTCCTGAAGTAGATCGGAGGTTCCACTTCGCCAGTGGGGCAACAAGTCCGTCTAGGTTCACCAGAGAGCTCTTTGTCAAGCAGTGTTCCATTGAACAAAAAAATTCAGCGACCTTATCCAGAAAATTTGTTATATTGAAATGAACCTCTTTCTTTCATTCAAAAATCTCAAAATTTTCTACTATTTGATCATTCGTTTCGATGGTAAATTGGTACTGCCATTTGCCAAGGAATCAATCCACCATCAGCTTGCTTGTAAGCACAGGGGGGCTGTCGACAGTCATACCAGCAGATGGTTGCTGTTGGCATGCTACCACTCGAGTTACTTTCCATGTACCTCTCTTCTCACAGAGGGCGAATACGGATGAAGTTTGACTTTCTTTTCTTTTTTTTTTTAACAGATTATCAACGGTCTACATAAGCACTTCACGCTAAAAGTGTTGGCGACTAGTATCTTGGGGAAATAAGGATGCACAAGTTTCTAGTTTTATTTAGTAACGATTATCGTGCTTATCAATGTTAACTACACAGATTTTCTGAGAGGGTAGACTTAATAGGCGCCGGAGTTCAATGGACGAGAAAGAAAAGTTCACTTTGTGGCCGATTTGAAAACGCTTTTGTTGGAAGCCAGTGCCAATAGAAATGAAAGATAATGAAACCCTTTTTAGCTGTCCTGCACCGTATAGCGTATGTCTTAGCCGCCTTTACTGTCATCCACTGATCAGGCTGGGGAGTAATCTGTAATGGCCAAATTTAGCCGGACAACAGTGTTAAACGGAAGGAGGAGAGGAGGAAAGCATTTTAGTCCAAGCACCTTTGTCTCTCAGACACGTACATTTTTAGAAAAATTTTCGGAAAATCAAAGTAATTGGCACACTAGAAAAGTTTGATTCTTACAGGTCTTGCTTACGCTATGAGCGATGTTCCGCGTTCACTATCAGTTTGCGTCGCTAAGCTACAATACTTCAATGAACTGCCTGAAGTCAGTTAATTTCAAATGTTTTTTCATTTCAAGAAAATATTCACTCTTTTTCAAGTGTGCACAGCATGGGTTTTTGCAGGAGTACTTTGCGGAGTTATTCGAAAAAATGGAACCGATGAGCAAAGTGATGATGGTTGATGAAAGTGCTGAAGATTTGCTACCTAAGAATTGTCCACAGAGAATACCCGAAGGGGTAGGATTATTTTTTTTTTTTTTTT